GAATCTCCTCTGGCACCACCGCCTTGGCCACCCCTCTCTGCTTCGGCTCAGAGGTATGGCCTCCCGTCTTCTTGTGTCCGGTCTCCCCCGGTCCCTCCCTCCCCTTCCTCAGGGCCCTGGCCCTGCCTGTGTCCCCTGTGTCGAGGGGCGCCAGCGTGCTGCCCCTCACTCCTCCCAGTTCCCTCCGACAGAGGCCCCGTTGCAGACACTTCACATGGATGTGTGGGGCCCAGCCCGCGTCCGTGGACAGGGTCACGAGCGCTACTTCCTGCTCGTTGTTGACGACTACTCGCGTTACACCACAGTCTTCCCCTTGCGCAGCAAGGGTGATGTCACTGAGGTGCTGATCGACTGGATCCGCGCAGCTCGTCTCCAGCTCAGGCAGAGCTTCGGCTCGGACTTTCCTGTTCTGCGTCTGCACTCGGACAGAGGCGGAGAGTTCTCCTCTGGCCTTCTGCGTGCCTACTGTCGTGCACGGGGCATCCGTCAGACCTTCACGCTTCCGGACTCACCGCAGCAAAATGGGATTGCTGAGCGCCGCATTGGCATGGTCATGGACGTCGCTCGTACGTCTATGATGCATGCGGCTGCCCCCCATTTTCTGTGGCCGTTTGCGGTGAGGTACGCGGCGCATCAGATCAACCTCCACCCCAGGGTCTCCAGGCCGGAGACCTCCCCAGCCTTGCTGTGGACGGGGAAGGTTGGCAATGCGTCGGCGTTCCGGGTCTGGGGATCTCGGGCGTTTGTCCGCGACCTGTCTGCGGACAAACTATCCCCTCGTGCTGCTCCTTGCGTCTTCCTGGGGTTCCCCCCTGACGCGCCTGGGTGGCAGTTTTACCACCCCACCTCTCGCCGTGTTCTGTCCTCCCAGGACGTCACGTTTGACGAGTCGGTCCCCTACTACCGCCTCTTCCCCTACCGCACTCCGTCCCTCCCCCCACCCCCACTCTTCCTGGTACCAGGTCCCCCCCAGGTAGACCCCCTCCCCCCTCAGGGTCCTGCCCCTTCAGGTGTGTCCCAGGTAGACGCAGTCGAGCCTGTCGAGGTCACTGGTGACTCTGGTGCTGCTGAGGGTGCTGAGGCTGGGGGTGCTGTGCCTGGGGGTGCGGAGCCTAGGGGTGCTGGGCCTGGGGGTGCTACGTCTGGGGGTGCTGAGCCTAGGGGTGCTGAGCCTGGGGGTGCTGAGTCTGGGGGTGCTCAGCCTAGGGGTGCTGAGCCTAGGGGTGCTACGTCTGGGGGTGCTGAGCCTAGGGGTGCTACGCCTGGGGGTGCTGAGCCTGGAGGTGCTCCGCCTGGAGGTTCTCCGAGTGCTTCGTCTCGCCGGGAGCCACTTTCTCCACAGGAGCTGCGTGAGTGGTTTGCCCGGCGCTGGAGGCGTGCTGCTGGTGCTGGAGGTCCTTCGGCTGCTGAGGGTGCTGCGGTCGCGGGTCCCGGAGGTGCTCGTCCTGGGTGCACTGGAGCTGGTGCTGCTGAGGGTGTTGGCGCTGAGACTACCGCTGGCAGTCCTGCTGGGGGTGCTCCTGGTGCTGCTGGAGGTTCTGGAGCTACTGGTGGTACTGCTGGAGCGGGTGCTCCTGCTGAGGGTTCTGGTGCTGTCCCTGCTGCTTCTAGCGTCGCCGCGCGGCCTCGACCGTACTTCGTTCCACTCCTGCAGCAGGTTCTTGGTCTTCCACCTTCTACTGGTCCTCCTCCTCCCTTAGAGTGTCCACAGCCTGTCTCGTCCCAGCTACAGTTGCAGCCTACCTCCCCTTTGCCTGCTCCTTCTCCCTACACTGGTCCTACTGGAGGTCTGGCTGAGCGTCGTGAGCCTGCGTCTCGCCCTGCGTCGCCTGTCCGTGCTGCTCGCACTAGTGGTCGCGGTTCGCGTCAGCGTCCTCCTCCTGTCCCTGGCACGCACCGGATGTCTCTGCGTCCGTCCACTGCTCCTCTGCGTGCCCCTTTGCCTTCTCCTCCTGAGTCCTCTCTTCCTGCTCTTCCTGACCCGGAGTCGGACTCCCTTCGTGCTGCCAGTCCTACTGTCACGCGTCTCCTTGCTACTGTTGTCACTGACCCTTCTTTCGAGTCTACTGCTGCGTCTGCTCTCGTTACTGAGCTCGTCGACTTTGCTGCTCGCTGTCGCTTAGACTACGCTGCTAGTCTTGTCGCTGAGTCTGAGTCTGTCTGTCCTCCGTCCGTCGGGGGTGAGTGTGCCCTTGGCACGGACGTCCTTGAGGACAGGCAGGAGGAGTTCCAGTGTCTGGCAGCTGCCTCACCTCATCTCGTGTCCGTACTGCTTACCCCTGAGGGAGACCCGGATGCACTTGACATCCCGACTCCGCGCTCTTACGCGGAGGCGATAGAGGGTCCCTACTCCTCTCAGTGGCAGGCAGCTATGGATGCAGAGATGGCTTCCTGGAAGTCCACAGGCACCTACGTTGACGCTGTCCCCCCTCCTGGGGCGAACATCGTCAGTGGCATGTGGATCTTCAGGGTGAAGCGGCCGCCGGGTTCTCCGCCTGTCTTCAAGGCGCGTTACGTGGCTCGTGGCTTCAGTCAGCGGCAGGGAGTTGACTACTTTCAGACCTTCTCCCCCACCCCGAAGATGACCACTCTTCGGGTACTGCTGCACGTTGCTGCTCACCGTGATTACGAGCTGCACTCTCTTGACTTCAGCACAGCTTTCTTGCAGGGCAGCCTGCACGAGGAGATCTGGCTGCGTCGCCCACCTGGCTTCACTGGGTCTTTCCCTCCTGGTACCCAGTGGAGTCTCCGGCGTCCAGTCTACGGTCTCCGCCAGGCGCCACGTGAGTGGCACGACACACTGAGGACTACGCTTGCGGCTCTTGGGTTTGCTCCTTCTACTGCCGACCCGTCGCTGTTTCTACGCACCGACACCTCTCTGCCGCCGTTCTACATCCTCGTGTACGTCGACGACTTGGTCTTTGCCACAGCTGACACTGCTGGACTCGCCTACGTGAAGTCCGAGCTGCAGAAGAGACACACGTGCACAGACCTGGGTGAACTGCGCAGCTACCTTGGCTTGCAGATCACCCGGGACAGAGCACGCCGCACCATTACCCTGACTCAGTCACACATGGTGCAGCAGGTCCTTCAGCGCTTCGGCTTCACGTACTCCTCGCCTCAGGCCACTCCTCTGTCTACTCGCCACTCGCTCTCAGCTCTGCCTTCGGATGAGTCCGTAGAGTCGAGTGGCCCGTACCCAGAGCTTGTTGGCTGCCTCATGTACCTGATGACCTGCACACGACCTGACCTTGCATACCCTCTTAGCATTCTTGCACGCTATGTTGCTCCTGGGAGACACAGACCAGAGCACATGGCTGCAGCGAAGAGGGTGTTGTGCTACTTGTGCAGTACGTCGGGCATGGGGCTAGTGCTTGGAGGGCGGAGTCCAGTGGTCCTCACTGGGCACGCGGACGCTTCTTGGGCTGACGACCAGGCTACGCAGCGGTCGTCACAGGGTTACACCTTCAGCCTTGGTTCCGGCTCTGTTTCGTGGCGGGCTACTCGCTCGTCTTCTGTTCTTGGCTCGAGTTGTGAGGCTGAGATCTACGCCGGGGCCATGGCTGCACAGGAGCTTCGCTGGCTCACCTACCTGCTGACCGACCTTGGAGAGCCGCCTCGTTCTCCTCCAGTCCTGTACGTAGACAACAAGGCCATGCTGGCCTTGTGTCGAGAGCAGCGACTGGAGCACAGAACAAAGCACATTGCTCTCCGCTACTTCCTTGCTCGTGAGCTACAGCAACGTGGACAGCTGCGGCTTGCGTACGTGGCCTCTGAGGCCAACACTGCTGATGTCTTCACCAAGGCACTTCCGCCTTGTGATCATCAGCGCTTCTGCACTCAGCTGGGTCTTGTGCCCGTCTTGCCTCACTTGCTCTCCTCTTGACCTTGCTTGTACTCTCACATATATACATACCTGCTCTTGCTTGTCTAGCTTTATATATATGTGTGTACTCTTGCATGTGAACTGGCCGTGTGGCCTTGACCCTGTGCTCGGACTGTGTGGTGACTTTGTGATCCACCCTGAGCTTGCTTTACTTTGCTTTGCTTGACTGGTCTTGTGACCCCTTGTTCTCCCCCACTTTGCCTATGGGGGTGTGTCAGAACATTGTAGCTTATGCTGTTGTGTAGGCTATAGTGGGGTATCCCATAGGGGGTACAACCAATTAGGGTTTCATATTTGTACTCACTTCATTTCATAGTTCATCCATTCTTGATCAAATCTTCTCACTCCCCAATGGCGGAAAAACTCCGCCCTAGTGCCCAGGGAATCCAAATTGCACTCCCGTAAGTGCCAGGGCCCACGGGGGGTGTAACTTGGATTCCCTCATTCACGCATTTTGTTTATAATTTTACCCCACCCTCTAAAATAACTAGTAATTACGACATAAAAAACGTAATGCAAATACACTAATCTCTATAAGGTACGTCAGGTGAATACGACATTTATTACCTTCAAATTGAAGGTTTTTGGATAGTGATATACCCAAACAAGTCGCAACAGTGAAATGAGGCAGGGGGGAGAAAAACTGTTCAGCACGGGAAGTTTCGTTTTGTGCTGCCGCAGTTTCGTGAGCCCCCATCCCACGAATCGCTCGTCCGCGCCTTCCCCCCAAAACTTTCCGCTTGCGCCTGGACCCCGGACTTGGAGTCGACATGGGTTGACTCCAAGTTGACCAGCCCAAACTAGAAACCCTAGGTTTGAGTTTGGATTCCGCCCCCTCCCCCTCACTGTATCCCGTGTGCTGCCGAACATCGCCCTGTGGCGTCCCTTGTTGGGATGCAAGAAGATAACACCCAGTCACCATGACATTTGTGAATATTCACGGGTGCGCTTGAAAGCAAGCATTATTTCAACGAGAATGTGACAATTCAAAGGCTACCGTACCAGAAGCTGATTGTTTCTACACAGCACGTGGAAATCCAAAATAGGGAGTGCTTAATTAAATATATCGTCGGTGCGTTCGTCTCTGTGTAAGCGCATGCGCTGCGCCAATTAAATGGTGCGCCCGTATCGGGGGGATCACAGTCGGTGCTCCCCATAACATTGGTGGTAACCGTTCACCTAGAGTATGCACGAGTGGGTCTAGTGTGCAGCAGAGGGCTGGGCTATGAGGTTGCTGCGGTTCCCCCTTGGGAAGTACTCGCGGAGCAGCGAGTCAATAACCGCAGTTTGTGTGGAGCATGTGTGGATGATGCGTGGAGCATGTGTGGAGCACGAGTGGAGGATGTGTGGAGCACGAGTGGAGGATGTGTGGAGCACGAGTGGAGGATGTGTGGAGCACGAGTGGAGGATGTGTGGAGCACGAGTGGAGGATGTGTGGAGCACGAGTGGAGGATGTGTGGAGCACGAGTGGAGGATGTGTGGGGCACGAGTGGGCCTATTGTGCAGCAGAGGGCTGGGCTACGAGAATGTTGCGGCTCTCCTTGCCCTGAAAGAACTCCCTGAGCAGCTCCCTAAGGTTTTCATCCGTGAAGCGAATGTGCTTGCTGGCCTCCTTGCTGCTGCGGCCAAAGAACCCGCCACTCTTCAACAGCGGGCTGATGGGGGGGGAGAGGGGATTGGCAGTGACAAGGGAGGGATTAGCAAGAAGGAAGGGACAACGGTAGGGGAGGTTGCTGCTTTTCAGCTCCAAGCTGAAAGACAGGAAGGAGATGGAAGGACAGCCAAGGGACACGGGTGGAGGCGGAGAGGGGATGAGTGGGATAGGGGGTGATGGAGCTCGCATCTAATGTGTGCATGGGAACACATGTACGCATGTGAATATCTGTGCGTGTGGGTATGTGAGCAGGCCAAACACACACAGTGATCCCTACAAAACATATACGGATACACAGGCATGGCGCAAGCATGCAGAGGTGACTTCTGACTCAACTCAAGAAGTAACATAGCGCATGGTGCATAGCACGTACCAAGGTGACTTCTGACTCAACTCAAGAAGTAACATAGCGCATGGTGCATAGCACGTACCAAGGTGACTTCTGACTCAACTCAAGAAGTAACATAGCGCATGGTGCATAGCACGTACCAAGGTGACTTCTGACTCAACTCAAGAAGTAACATAGCGCATGGTGCATAGCACGTACCAAGGTGACTTCTGACTCAACTCAAGAAGTAACATAGCGCATGGTGCATAGCACGTACCAAGGTGACTTCTGACTCAACTCAAGAAGTAACATAGCGCATGGTGCATAGCACGTACCAAGGTGACTTCTGACTCAACTCAAGAAGTAACATAGCGCATGGTGCATAGCACGTACCAAGGTGACTTCTGACTCAACTCAAGAAGTAACATAGCGCATGGTGCATAGCACGTACCAAGGTGACTTCTGACTCAACTCAAGAAGTAACATAGCGCATGGTGCATAGCACGTACCAAGGTGACTTCTGACTCAACTCAAGAAGTAACATAGCGCATGGTGCATAGCACGTACCAAGGTGACTTCTGACTCAACTCAAGAAGTAACATAGCGCATGGTGCATAGCACGTACCAAGGTGACTTCTGACTCAACTCAAGAAGTAACATAGCGCATGGTGCATAGCACGTACCAAGGTGACTTCTGACTCAACTCAAGAAGCAACATAGCGCATGGTGCATAGCACGTACCAAGGTGACTTCTGACTCAACTCAAGAAGTAACATAGCGCATGGTGCATAGCACGTACCAAGGTGACTTCTGACTCAACTCAAGAAGTAACATAGCGCATGGTGCATAGCACGTACCAAGGTGACTTCTGACTCAACTCAAGAAGTAACATAGCGCATGGTGCATAGCACGTACCAAGGTGACTTCTGACTCAACTCAAGAAGTAACATAGCGCATGGTGCATAGCACGTACCAAGGTGACTTCTGACTCAACTCAAGAAGTAACATAGCGCATGGTGCATAGCACGTACCAAGGTGACTTCTGACTCAACTCAAGAAGTAACATAGCGCATGGTGCATAGCACGTACCAAGGTGACTTCTGACTCAACTCAAGAAGTAACATAGCGCATGGTGCATAGCACGTACCAAGGTGACTTCTGACTCAACTCAAGAAGTAACATAGCGCATGGTGCATAGCACGTACCAAGGTGACTTCTGACTCAACTCAAGAAGTAACATAGCGCATGGTGCATAGCACGTACCAAGGTGACTTCTGACTCAACTCAAGAAGTAACATAGCGCATGGTGCATAGCACGTACCAAGGTGACTTCTGACTCAACTCAAGAAGTAACATAGCGCATGGTGCATAGCACGTACCAAGGTGACTTCTGACTCAACTCAAGAAGTAACATAGCGCATGGTGCATAGCACGTACCAAGGTGACTTCTGACTCAACTCAAGAAGTAACATAGCGCATGGTGCATAGCACGTACCAAGGTGACTTCTGACTCAACTCAAGAAGTAACATAGCGCATGGTGCATAGCACGTACCAAGGTGACTTCTGACTCAACTCAAGAAGTAACATAGCGCATGGTGCATAGCACGTACCAAGGTGACTTCTGACTCAACTCAAGAAGTAACATAGCGCATGGTGCATAGCACGTACCAAGGTGACTTCTGACTCAACTCAAGAAGTAACATAGCGCATGGTGCATAGCACGTACCAAGGTGACTTCTGACTCAACTCAAGAAGTAACATAGCGCATGGTGCATAGCACGTACCAAGGTGACTTCTGACTCAACTCAAGAAGTAACATAGCGCATGGTGCATAGCACGTACCAAGGTGACTTCTGACTCAACTCAAGAAGTAACATAGCGCATGGTGCATAGCACGTACCAAGGTGACTTCTGACTCAACTCAAGAAGTAACATAGCGCATGGTGCATAGCACGTACCAAGGTGACTTCTGACTCAACTCAAGAAGTAACATAGCGCATGGTGCATAGCACGTACCAAGGTGACTTCTGACTCAACTCAAGAAGTAACATAGCGCATGGTGCATAGCACGTACCAAGGTGACTTCTGACTCAACTCAAGAAGTAACATAGCGCATGGTGCATAGCACGTACCAAGGTGACTTCTGACTCAACTCAAGAAGTAACATAGCGCATGGTGCATAGCACGTACCAAGGTGACTTCTGACTCAACTCAAGAAGTAACATAGCGCATGGTGCATAGCACGTACCAAGGTGACTTCTGACTCAACTCAAGAAGTAACATAGCGCATGGTGCATAGCACGTACCAAGGTGACTTCTGACTCAACTCAAGAAGTAACATAGCGCATGGTGCATAGCACGTACCAAGGTGACTTCTGACTCAACTCAAGAAGTAACATAGCGCATGGTGCATAGCACGTACCAAGGTGACTTCTGACTCAACTCAAGAAGTAACATAGCGCATGGTGCATAGCACGTACCAAGGTGACTTCTGACTCAACTCAAGAAGTAACATAGCGCATGGTGCATAGCACGTACCAAGGTGACTTCTGACTCAACTCAAGAAGTAACATAGCGCATGGTGCATAGCACGTACCAAGGTGACTTCTGACTCAACTCAAGAAGTAACATAGCGCATGGTGCATAGCACGTACCAAGGTGACTTCTGACTCAACTCAAGAAGTAACATAGCGCATGGTGCATAGCACGTACCAAGGTGACTTCTGACTCAACTCAAGAAGTAACATAGCGCATGGTGCACAGCACGTACCAAGGTGACTTCTGACTCAACTCAAGAAGTAACATAGCGCATGGTGCATAGCACGTACCAAGGTGACTTCTGACTCAACTCAAGAAGTAACATAGCGCATGGTGCATAGCACGTACCAAGGTGACTTCTGACTCAACTCAAGAAGTAACATAGCGCATGGTGCATAGCACGTACCAAGGTGACTTCTGACTCAACTCAAGAAGTAACATAGCGCATGGTGCATAGCACGTACCAAGGTGACTTCTGACTCAACTCAAGAAGTAACATAGCGCATGGTGCATAGCACGTACCAAGGTGACTTCTGACTCAACTCAAGAAGTAACATAGCGCATGGTGCATAGCACGTACCAAGGTGACTTCTGACTCAACTCAAGAAGTAACATAGCGCATGGTGCATAGCACGTACCAAGGTGACTTCTGACTCAACTCAAGAAGTAACATAGCGCATGGTGCATAGCACGTACCAAGGTGACTTCTGACTCAACTCCAGAAGTAACATAGCGCATGGTGCATAGCACGTACCAAGGTGACTTCTGACTCAACTCAAGAAGTAACATAGCGCATGGTGCATAGCACGTACCAAGGTGACTTCTGACTCAACTCAAGAAGTAACATAGCGCATGGTGCATAGCACGTACCAAGGTGACTTCTGACTCAACTCAAGAAGTAACATAGCGCATGGTGCATAGCACGTACCAAGGTGACTTCTGACTCAACTCAAGAAGTAACATAGCGCATGGTGCATAGCACGTACCAAGGTGACTTCTGACTCAACTCAAGAAGTAACATAGCGCATGGTGCATAGCACGTACCAAGGTGACTTCTGACTCAACTCAAGAAGTAACATAGCGCATGGTGCATAGCACGTACCAAGGTGACTTCTGACTCAACTCAAGAAGTAACATAGCGCATGGTGCATAGCACGTACCAAGGTGACTTCTGACTCAACTCAAGAAGTAACATAGCGCATGGTGCATAGCACGTACCAAGGTGACTTCTGACTCAACTCAAGAAGTAACATAGCGCATGGTGCATAGCACGTACCAAGGTGACTTCTGACTCAACTCAAGAAGTAACATAGCGCATGGTGCATAGCACGTACCAAGGTGACTTCTGACTCAACTCAAGAAGTAACATAGCGCATGGTGCATAGCACGTACCAAGGTGACTTCTGACTCAACTCAAGAAGTAACATAGCGCATGGTGCATAGCACGTACCAAGGTGACTTCTGACTCAACTCAAGAAGTAACATAGCGCATGGTGCATAGCACGTACCAAGGTGACTTCTGACTCAACTCAAGAAGTAACATAGCGCATGGTGCATAGCACGTACCAAGGTGACTTCTGACTCAACTCAAGAAGTAACATAGCGCATGGTGCATAGCACGTACCAAGGTGACTTCTGACTCAACTCAAGAAGTAACATAGCGCATGGTGCATAGCACGTACCAAGGTGACTTCTGACTCAACTCAAGAAGTAACATAGCGCATGGTGCATAGCACGTACCAAGGTGACTTCTGACTCAACTCAAGAAGTAACATAGCGCATGGTGCACAGCACGTACCAAGGTGACTTCTGACTCAACTCAAGAAGTAACATAGCGCATGGTGCACAGCACGTACCAAGGTGACTTCTGACTCAACTCAAGAAGTAACATAGCGCATGGTGCATAGCACGTACCAAGGTGACTTCTGACTCAACTCAAGAAGTAACATAGCGCATGGTGCATAGCACGTACCAAGGTGACTTCTGACTCAACTCAAGAAGTAACATAGCGCATGGTGCATAGCACGTACCAAGGTGACTTCTGACTCAACTCAAGAAGTAACATAGCGCATGGTGCATAGCACGTACCAAGGTGACTTCTGACTCAACTCAAGAAGTAACATAGCGCATGGTGCATAGCACGTACCAAGGTGACTTCTGACTCAACTCAAGAAGTAACATAGCGCATGGTGCATAGCACGTACCAAGGTGACTTCTGACTCAACTCAAGAAGTAACATAGCGCATGGTGCATAGCACGTACCAAGGTGACTTCTGACTCAACTCAAGAAGTAACATAGCGCATGGTGCA